TGCTGGGTGACCTTGGGTCCCTCTGTACCCTTGGAATTCTCTGGGGGAAAGTCTGCCCTGATAGTCCCTGTCCTGAAGCAGCCTGCAGAGGGAGGATAAGTGGAATCAAGTTTGTTGGAGGGGATTAAGTCCATGGAAGGAGAAGATGCTATAGAGATGTGATGTGGTCTTATGGCTGTTGACTTGTGTTCTTGTTCTGTGTGTTTCTGGCCCCCATTTTTGAAGACCCAGGAGCGTGGGGCTCTCAGTTTGATGATCACCCATGGGGTTGGATCCATGACAGCGTATTAATGTGAAAGCTGGTGACATCATATTGGGGGATGGGACCCAGAGTCAACCCCCCACCCCCAAGTCACCACCAGGTTGTGGCTGTGAAATGAAGGGTGGAGATGGGAGACCCCTCCTCACCCTAGTGAAGGGTGCTCAGGACCCTTCAGGCAAGGCTGCAGTTCTGCTCCCTCATCCCCCTGGTTTCCTGAGCAGAGCTCACAGAGGTTGCTGTAACACACTTTGCTGAATGGGGAATGGTTGGCTCAGGTAGGGGAGAGACTTGTGGCTATTAAGTGACAATTGATGGCCATCCCTCCTTGGAACGCCTCCGTCTTCCTCCCAACTTCAGGGTCCTTTATTAAGACCTCTTCAGGCCTCTCCGGGGGCCAAGGAAGGCTGGGATGAGAAGGGATGCAGAGGAGGGGGCCAGAGTGACCCCCGGTGGTGAAGCGGGGAGCCTCTGTCCTGGGCTCTGCCGGCCCCAGGGTAGGGATAAGGCAGGGGATCCCTGCCAAGGTGCCCACATCTTGTGTTCTGGGGGTGCTAGACGAGGACCAGGTTGGGCAAGGAGGAAGTCTAGTGGCTTCGCTTCCATGTCCCACGTGGCATCTTGGAGGGTGGAGCCTTGGTGAGGAGGCCTGCCTGGGAGGTGGAGACTAACTGTAAAAAGACCTTGTCCCTGCTGCTGGGGAGCCTGCCAGGTGGTGGAGACGGGACTGGAGGCATGAACGATGGAGAGGGTGCGATAGGGTGGCGGCTGAGCCAGCCCCTCTGCTCGCTAGGGCCTCAGGACACCACTCCTGTGGAACCGGGGTACTAAAGGGATAACCTGTCACCCCCACCAAACCACAGCGCCATGAGCTGAGGAGTTGCTGTGTTCTGTTCTCAGCCTAGCTCCTGTTCTCAGCCCAGGCCTTCACAGAGGCTACATCAGCCCCAGGCCAGGCCCTGGCCAGATCTGGATGAATAATAAGACCGGTTAGTCCCTCTCTTCCCACAGGTATCACCCCCACTCCTTGTTCCCTGGGGGAGCCTGGGAGCTGCTGGGTCAAAGCCCAACCAGGAATTTTTCCAGGCTGGTTCCTGTATGCAAGGGTGAGTTGGGGGGCCTTGGGGAGCACTTAGGGAAGACATGAGGAGTTGGGGGAGAGGGAGGCTTTGAAGGAACGGGGGTGACTGAGGTAAAGGGAGAAGAGACTGCCAGCTGCGAGAAGTGGGCAAGGGATCCCGGAGGTCTGGGGGCTGCTGAGGAGGACTCCCCAATTCTGTTCGGAAGATGAGCTGTGAGCCTGGACTCTGGGGCTGATAGAGGCCTTGGCCTCCGGCCTGGTGGGAGCTCTGGGCAGCTGGCCTACAGACGTTCCTTAGTGCTGGTGAGTAGGTTTGAATCATCACTCAGGCCCTGGCCTCCATCCGCCCCCACCAGCCCCCTGGCCTCAGTTCCCTGGCAGCATCTCGGGGGGGGGGGGGGGCGGGAAGCAGGAACAAGGGCCTCTGTCTGCCCAGCTGCCTCTCCCTTTGGGCTCTGCCAGACTCCACAGTGCATACGTGGGCTCCAACAGGTCCTCTTCCCTCTGGGCCACTGACTAACCCCAGAACCACACGGCTTCCTGTTCTCAGCCCCACGAACACGGTGCCAAATACTTCTCCCCAGGGGAGACTCCCTGAACACTTCCCAAAGGACCCCAGTCACCCCAGCCTGTGGGCTGCAGCAGGCCAGATGAGGGCTCCAGAAGGGCACAGTGTCCAGATGGATACATCATGCCCTCTGTGCCTAGCACTGGGCTCTGTGCACATGGGGCCATTTGAGTCCCAAACATGCCACTGTTTGAGAGGTCACAAATGGGGATACCAGGGGTAATCTCCCTCAACCCTCTTCCTGAGGCCTCTTGAACCGGAGCTGGGGTGTGCAGACGGTAGTCACTAGGGGGCGCTCAGCCACCACAGGGAAGCTGGGTGAACTTGGGAGAGGGAGAGCAGCATCTGCGTGAGAGTGAGGACGCGTGTGAGTGTGTTGGGGGGGTAGCTGAGAGTGTTGGAGCGGGGGAGAAGGCCAGGGGTCACCCCAGGATTCCAGTAGATCTGTGTGTCCCTCTTTCCACCAGTCCCCTTCCGACTCCCCCAAACCCCTGCCCACTCCAATATTCCCAGCATAGAGGGAATAGCTCTCGAGTCCTGTCCGCACATAACCTCACTTTCCTGTACCCTCCCCCCAAATACCGCGCGGGCGTGTGTGTCTCCGGGCAAAGGGGGTCGCATAGGTAATTTTCAGGCTGTGAACCTCGGTGGGGGGTCGAGGTTTCGCTTCGCTGGTGTGGGTGGGGGTCCAGGCTTCGCTTGGGGTCCCCAGGCGAAGGCAGCGCCAGGGGCCGAAGACGCGCGGAGGGGACGGACTCAAGGAGCCGAGGCAGGGCCTGTTCCCGCCCCTGGGCGTGTCGGGGCGGGGCCAGGCCTTCTTTTTAGTCTGCTCATAGCGGTGAGGAGCGCAGAGGCTTGGGGCAGCCGGGCTGCAAGGAGGCCGCAGCGCGGGGGGCGAGTGGAGCCGGCGGCAGCGGCGCTCGGTCGGGAGACGCATCGGCGAGGCGGACGAACCAGCGGGGTCACCAGCCAGGAGTCTCCGCACTGGAATTTGATATTCATTTATCCAGGGTTTACCCTCCTCCTTTTATTCTGAAACATTTTTTTTGGAAAAAACCGTATTCTTTCCCCCTTTTAATTTATTTTTGCTTCCCATTCCCCGCTAAATCGGGCCGACCGTTTGGGGAGATTGCTCCTTTACTCCCCCAAATCACTTCGGATTTTGGAAACCAGCAGAGAAGCAAGAGGTATAGCAAGAGCTCCAAAGAGAAGTGGAGGAAGATAGAGAGACCGGGTCAGAGAGCGCGCGCTGCCGAGCGAGAAACGAGAGGGACAGGGGCAAAGTGAGTGACCTGATTTTGGGGGTGACCGCCAGAGCGCGGCGCGAGCCCTCCCCCTCAGGATCCCACGTCGGACCAGCCGCGCTGACGGACAGACAGACAGACACCGCCCCCTGCCCCAGCGCCCACCTCCTCCCCGGCCGGCGGCCGACGGTGGACGCGGCGGCTAGCCGCGGGCAGGAGCCGGAGCCCGCGCCCGGAGGCGGGGTGGAGGGGGTCGGGGCTCGCGGCGTTGCACTGAAACTTTTCGTCCAACTTCTGGGCTGTTCTCGCTCCGGAGGAGCCGTGGTCCGCGCCGGGGCAGCCGAGCCGAGCGGAACCGGGAGAAGTGCTAGCTCGGGCCGGGAGGAGCCGCAGTCCGAGGAGGGGGAGGAGGAAGAAGAGAAGGAAGAGGAGAGGGGGCCGCGGTGGCGACTCGGCTCTCGGAAGCCGGGCTCATGGACGGGTGACGCGGCTGTGTGCACAGACAGTGCTCCAGCCGCGCGCGCGCCTCAGGCCCTGGCCCGGGCCTCGGCTCCGGGAGGAAGAGGCGCCCGCCTGGGCGCCGAGGAGAGCGGGCCGCCCCGCAGCCCGAGCCGGAGAGGGAGCGCGAGCCGCGCCGGCCCCGGCCGGGCCTCCGAAACCATGAACTTTCTGCTCTCTTGGGTGCATTGGAGCCTTGCCTTGCTGCTCTACCTCCACCATGCCAAGGTAAGCCGCCGTGCCCGCCTGGCGCCGCGGGCCGCTGCGAGCGCCTCTCCCGGCTGGGGACGTGCATGCGAGTGCGCGCGTGGGGGCTCAGTGCCCCACGCGGGTCCTTGGGCACCAGGCGCGCGGCTTCGCCTCTATCTTCATACGTGTAGGGGGAGGGAGCGCGCGCTAGGTGGGAGGACACCGGGACAGAGTCTCACCGCCCACGCGGGCCCTGCCCACCCACCAGAGTTACCGCACGTAGGATCTGGGCCGACCAGCGGAGGGCGGGAGCCGGAGGAGGCAGCTGAGGGGGCTGGGCTTGCGCTGCCGCTGGCGGCTGAAGTTTGCTCCCGGCCGCTGGTCCCCGACGAACTGGAAGTCCGGGCAGAGGGGGCGGGAGCCGCAGCCCAGCGGGCGGGGGTGGGGGTGCTCGGACCTTGGACCGGGGGAGGGCAGAGAGCGTGGAGACGGCAGGGTGCAGGCGAGAGAGGGGCTTGCTGTCACTGCCGCTCGATCTCTGCGGCCCTCGCCTCGAGTTGGGGAAAAGTTTTGGGGTGGATTGCTGCTGGGACCCCCGCTCTCCGCCGGGCCACCTGCGTCGCAGCACCCCCGCCCGTCCCAGCTCGCGTCCCGCTCGGTGCCCGCCCTCCCCCGCCCGGCCGGGCGCGCGCGGCGCGGAGCCGATTACATCAGCCCGGGCCTGGCCGGCCGCGTGTTCCCGGAGCCGCGGCGGCCCGAGCGGGGAACCCGGGGTGGCGAGCGGCGCCCCTCCCCCCGCCTGCCCTCCGCGGGAAGGTGACCTCTCGAGGTAGTCCCTTGCAGAGGACCCGGAGAACCACCCCTATTCCTTCCCGCTGTCCCCAGCCCTTAACTCCCTCCTAGGAGGAATTTCCTAACGTCCCTTCCCCATTTCCTCTCTGCTCGAAGAGAAGCCCCTGCCACCTCTTTATTTTTTATTCCCCTCTGCTGAGAAGACCCATCTAACCTCTCTCCGGCCCCAGAGTCCGGGAAAGAATGATCGCTGTCAGGAGTCGGGCTGCCTGGGCCCAGCCGGGTGCTTTGTCGAGACTCAACCTAAAGTCCCGACTTCGTGACAGTCTGCTTCCCTCCCCTCCCCCACACTTCCGAGTGAGCTGTGCTTTAGCTTTTATGGGGGTGGCCTAAGGGAGGGTTTAAAGAGGGTCCTCAGACCACTTTACACTTTTTGGAAAAATGGTTTGAAATTTGCTGTGACATGGGCCGTGTGGGACTAGCCCTCCCCGAACCTTTGGAGGGAGCTCCTGCCAGCCGTGCAAACACACTTTGTTCTGGTGAAAAGGGCGTTGGAGCAGGAGCAGGTGGTTTTTTCGGAACTCCAAACTTGCCCACCCACCTTGCCTCCCAAAACCACCTAAGGGATCCTTTTCCGCTCTTCCTTTAGCTACAGAATCCCCTTAGAGAGTGGCAGAAGGAAGAAAATGGGCTGGGGTCCCTGCTGCCACCCGGAGTTCCTCAGACCCTGGCACAAAGGCCTTGGCTCCAGGCCTCCAAGGGGGGGGGGAGGGGGAGGAGAGGCCGCCTGGCCACAGTGTGACCTTCAGAGGCCCCCAGAGAAGGGCACCTGGCCCCTCCCCGCCCAGAACTGCCCCTCCCAGTGCCCCCTGGACTTGGAGGGGGTATGAAGTTTCTGATCCCTTTGCTCTTTGGGGCCCAGGAGGAGTGGAGGGCATAGGCAGAATGTTGGCAGAGGGAAGCCAGGGGGTGCCATGGAGATGGGTGAGGGGCTGAGGCAGAGACTCCAGGGGGGTCCCTGAGGGAACTGTAGGGGGAGGCTCCAGCTGGGATCCTGGAAACTTGGCCCTGGAGGCAAGGCTGGGGATCTGGGGTGTATTGGGGGGGGTGTGGGAAAGAGAGAGACAGACAGACAGAGTCTCTGCGGAGTCTGCAGTTCTGTGGGCTAGAGCGCAGCTCTGCTGCTCGGGATCTGCCCCAAAAGAGGGGCAGGTGGGGTGGGCAGTTGGTGACAACTGGAGACCCTCTGGAAGGGCTGGGAGAAGCCTCTGCCTGCGGGGTGCTGTCAGGTCCACATGGTTGGGCTAGTTGACCTTCACAGCTTCTGGGGAGGGGAGGAATGATCTGGTGGGGGTGGGGAGGGATGAGAGGCCTCAGGCCTAGGTAGTGCAGGGGGCCCCCTAGGGGTTGGGCAGTGCTAAGGCATAAAAGGCTTCCCTGGTTGCCTTTGAGGAAGGTGTCCAGCAGGTGAGAGGGACTTGGGAACCCCCTCAGTCCGGGAGGGAGAAGAAACCAGGGAACAAGGTGGGAGCCCGAGGCTCGGGGCTTTGGAGATAAATTCAGGCTCTAGGGAGATGGGTGCGCAGGGAAAAATGGGGCCCTCCCCTCCCCCAGGGTTTCCTCCCATGTTTTCCCCTCTAGGCAACCTGTGGCTTTGCTAAGTATTCCTGAGGATAGAAGAGTTTGGATGGGGGAGGGTGCTCGGTGCCCTTCGGTCCTCTGTACCGCCCCCCCCACAGCAACAGCGCACCCTGGTATTTGTTATGTCAGCAGGAGAAGGTCACCATGTTGTTTTTCTCGCCCCCAGTCCTTCCTTCCTGCCCCAGTCCAAATTTGTCCTCCTGTTTGACCTTAATACTTACCCGTGGCTTTGGACCAGGGAGTCAGGGGGGCTGAGAGACTTCACTTCTTTTAGCTCAGCAAGGGGCCAGTGAGGGCTGGGAAAGGGAAATGTGGGGGAGGGGCGGGGACCTGGGCAGCACAGCATTCTGGTGTTTTCCTCCTGTGTTTTGAGCCCCCCCACCAATATCTGGTCAGTCTTTATCTTCCTTGGCTTCAGAACGGGAGCAGTCCAGGGGTGGTGCTTTGTGCTGTGGAGAGCCCCCGGAGGTGCCCTGCACCATTGAGAAGCCCCGGGGAAGCCAGAGGCTGCGGGTTGGGAGGGACTTAAGGAGGGAGCAGGGGCGGGGTGGCTGGGTCTGTGCATCCCTGCTTCTGCCCATGCCCATTCTTCGTTCTTTGTTTTGTCTTCAGTGGTCCCAGGCTGCACCCATGGCAGAAGGAGAGCAGAAACCTCACGAAGGTAAGTCCCCCCCAACGCCCACCCCTGCACATGGATGGGGGGGGGTCCCTTGATCCCCCAGGGGATGGGTGGGAAGGCCTAGTTCCTTCTCAGGTCTGTTGGGGTTTGGGTGGGGAAGGGGCACAGGAATCTGGGGATCTAGAAAGGAAAAGGTGAGCTCCGGGAGATTAACCCTTCCATTCTGGAGCACTCTGTCTGTACTACTCAGACCACGGCTAGAAATAGGACTTGTGGTCTTTTTTTTCTGCTCTTTCCAGTAAAATTTTATTTGGAGAGGGAGTTGCGAGCACAGACCAGGAAGACGAATAGTGTTCAAGGATCCCAGGTGTCAGGGGAGGTGTCCCTTGTCGCCCCTGCTCCCAGGGGAGGATGGATACTCCATGTCACTTCCAACCCAGCCAGATTCCACCTGTGGGGTCTGTGTGGCAGAGGCTGTGACCCCTGCTGTCTAGATTGCTGGCTGTGTATGAGCTGGAGATGCAGAGGGCCCAGGCTCATGGAACTCCCTCCCCCCACTTGGCATTCCTTTGGGGGTGGAGAGAGAAAGCCCTACAGCCTCCCGCTGCCCTCCTGGGGAGTAGGTTTGGGTGCTTGTGAACTTCCCTCTTGGTCCAGCAGAGGGCTGGCTGTAGCTCCCAGGAGCCCCGCCCCTCTGCCCAGCCTGAGTCTGCCTGCCTTTTGTTTGCCGCGGTTTGGAGTACAGATCCTCCCATTTCTCTAGGGATGCCCTGGCTCTCCCCACTACTGAATGTGGCCTCTGCTCCAGCCCGATGTGCCACTCCCCCAGCTCCCCACCTCTGAGAAGGGACGACCCTGGGGTCTTCCTCCAGGCGAGTTTCCCTGACCCAAATCCAGTGGCCCGGATGGTGGCCAGGGGCAGTGTTTCTACTCCCCAGGCTGGTGGTGACGCCTGGCCAGTTCTGCCTCCTTCCTCACTCAGGAGCCCTTTCCTTGACCCAGGGCCTGGCTTCCCCACCTGTGCCACTGACAGGCCTCCGCTCCCAGGGTGCACCCACCCTGCCTCAGCCTCCACTGGTCTCTCTCTGAGGTCTGGGAGAGACAAGACAAATGGTCTTTGTTTGCTGGGGTAAAGGTTGTCTTAGAGAAATAAGGAAAACCACGAAGCCTGAAGTTGGAGTGTATGTGCGCCCACGCCTGAGCAAAAGCAGGACAGCTTTCCTTGGAGGTGTTGGCTGGGGTGCGAAGGGTGCGGTGAAGTCACCCCCCTCTACCTCCTGTGGGCCCTGAGGATGCCAGGGAGCTTTTCCAAGGAATTCCCACCCTGGATCTTTTTACCATCAGCTACCAACTGCCATGACCCAGGCCAGACTGTTTTGCCGTCCTGTCCTTGTGGCCCTGAAGGCTTGGCCACCTCTAGCCCCAGCCAGGACGCAGTGTCAGGGCAAGAATTCTTGATTAGTCATCTTCTTCAATATAGACCTGGCTTACAAAAGGACTTCTTCAGATCCCTGGTCTTGTTTATACTCTTTTTGGTGATGCTTGGTCCTAACCCTTGTAGCGGTGGGGAATTCTGTGCCCATTGTCTGGATGGGGAAGCAGAGACCTCAGGCAAGGCCAAGGACTGGCTTGGGAGCCCCCAGTGTTTTCTTTCCTGTTTTCACACGTACAGCCTCCCCACTTCCCCTCAGCTCCTCACATTCTCCCTAATCCACTATATATACCCCCCTCCCCAGCACCCAGGCTCATCTTCCTTCACCCTTCTGGAGGGAGGAGTGAGGAGAGGCTCAGCTGTGGCCTCTGGGAAGAGGCAGCTGGGGGTATGCCCTTCAGATGTCTTGGTGGGGCTCTAACCTTGTGTCTCCTGGGCTGAGAAAAGGGCGCTTGTTCTTAGGGCTGGAGATGGAAGGCAGAACCCTATACTTCAACCTCTGTTTCAGTGTCTTTAGAGATCAGCCCAACCCACTTACACAGATGTGCAGAGTCTGAGGCCTAGAGAGGGAGGAACTGTCCCAAGGTCACACCAAGTCCTGGCCAGAGCCCAGGCTTCCTCGCTGGCTGGATGCTGCTGCTTCCCTTCTGTTCAGGGGAAACTCATTTCAGGGACAGGATTGCTCTGTGGTGGTGGTGGAGGGCTGATGGGGAGTGGCAGGCCAGGCCACAGTTTGGAGTAGTCATTCAGAGTCCTGACTTTATTTATTCTCAGGGGCCCTACCTCTGTGGCCCAGAATTACCCCTTCATGCTCCGGTGCACCCCAGGCTCCACGGCCAGCCTGGGAAGTTGTCTTTACCCTGGTCTCCCTCCAGATCAGCTTCTAGAAATGCTCCGTGACTGCAGTGGCGGCACCGTTTTTTCCATGATGCAAGCAGTTTGCCCTCCTGGGTGGGGTTATCGGTGGCTGGCAGGGCCAGCACAGTGTTCCCGCCCATAGCCACCTGCTGTTTCCAGGCAGACCCAGCCCCTGTGCCAGTGCCCACCACCTCCTCAGCCCGAGTCTGGGGAGGGGGTCTGGCAGGTGGCAAAGTGCCCCCTGATGCTTCCCCTCTGTTTCACAGGATGTTGGCTTGGGAAGGCTTTGATGTCAGAGTTGACTTTAACTCTGTTACTTACTGGCAGTGTGGCCTTGGGGCCAGTTACTCAGCCTCTGTAAGCCTCTAGTTCCCCATTTGTAAAACGGGGGGTCCTACTAGAACCTCAGAGTACCATGGGGGGGAGAATTGTTTGGGGTGGCATCTGTGGACTCCTGTACACAGTGCCCAGCACATAAGAAGTGCTCAGTAAGTGGTTGTCGGTTAATGGCAGGGCAGCCGCTGTGGAGAGTTGGAGGGAAATGGAGAGTGGGCTTGCCAAGCTGGCTGCTCCTCCTTTCACGGGAAGCTTAGAGACCCCCAACAGGTATACTCATACTCAGACTGTCCTCTGGCATCACGGTTGACCTAGGGATTGGCTTGGCTGTCCTGGCGAGGCTAGGGGATCAGATGTGCAGGCTGACTCCCTTCGAACCTGACAGTGCCATGTGATCTTTGGAATAAAAACAGGCCTTTCTCAGTGTTGGTGGTGGAAAGCTAGGAGAGGACTTCAGCCACAGCCAAGAGACTTAAGTTAGATTTTCAGAAGGACGGTAGTGGGTACCTCTTCCAGACAGGAGCGGGTGGAGAGAAGGGCCGGCCACCTCTAACGTGACCTGCTAGGCTCATGTGTCACCCTCTGCCATGCAGTGGTGAAGTTCATGGACGTCTACCAGCGCAGCTACTGCCGTCCAATTGAGACCCTGGTGGACATCTTCCAGGAGTACCCCGATGAGATCGAGTACATCTTCAAGCCGTCCTGTGTGCCCCTGATGCGGTGTGGGGGCTGCTGCAATGACGAGGGTCTGGAGTGTGTGCCCACCGAAGAGTTCAACATCACCATGCAGGTGGGCACCTGTGGGGAGCGGGGGAGGGGCCGCGTGGGTGGGTGGGGCATTAGGCTTTGCCAACAGGTGGTCCCCGGCCCTCTCCTGGGCAGCTCTCGAAGGGAGGAGCCAGGCTTGCCTTGCCCACCTCTCGCCCCTGAGTCAGTCAAGGGGAGATGTGGAGGTCTTACCCTCTTTGGAGAAAAAGATGCTCGCATTTCTGAGCCCAGGTTTCCAGCAAGCCCCGACCACCTCCTCCTCCTCCCTGACCTCTGTCCCCTGAGCTCAGGAGGGGGATGACACCTGTGACAGGAGCCCCTCCCTTCCTCTCTAGGAGGGAGAGAGCCCTCCCTCCCTGGGGGCTCTGTTTGGGAAGCTGGATGAGCCTGGTCTGTGGAGAGTTTAAAAAGCCAGTCGTTTGGTACTGCCTGGTGATGGGGCACATCTCAGCCTGGATGGGGCTGGAGGGAACTCTGAGACCCCAGGGAGGGGTGGGTGGCTCTTGGGTAGTTACTGGGGGTAGGGTGAGGCCTGGAGGGGTAAGAGGAGGGGAGGGATGGGGAGTGGCAAGAACCCAGGACCCAAATTCCCAGCCTGGCCAACCCTGCAGCCATGTCTGCCCTCAAGAGAAGCAGGGGCTCCTCGAGGTCAGCGGGGTGGGGGGAGTTGGGGGGGGCCTGAGGCTCTTTCTGGTAGAGCCCCTGGTCCCCCCGTACTTCCGCCACCCTTCCCTGCTCTGTAGAACCCCTGGGTGCTGAGTGGCAGGAGCCATGGGGTCTCCCGCCTGGGTATGGCTGGCTGGGTCACTAACCGCTGTGATCTGCTTCCTTTTCCTCCAGATTATGCGGATCAAACCTCACCAAGGCCAGCACATAGGAGAGATGAGCTTCCTACAGCACAACAAATGTGAATGCAGGTAAGGAAGTCACGGAGTCATTTGTTCAGTGAATGGCTGCTGAACGAATTCAGGGGGCCCACTCTAGGCCAGGGTAAAGTACGTTCCACTTGTTAGCCCGTTTCCACCTTCCAGCTGTGTAACTGTGGGCATTTCGATATTACTTCAATGTGCCTCAGTTTCCACATCTGTAAAATGGGCACAGTAATAGTATGTACTGCTTAGCATTGTTATAAGGATTAAATGAGTCCTTATACGTCAAGAGTTTAAAACTGTAGTGATGTATCATAAATACTATGTTAAGTTTTTATTATTATTATTATTATTCTCGTTACCATCACCATCTGAACTCCTCTCTGTTTTGTTCTTTTCTCTTTCTCTACCCACTGCAGACCAAAGAAAGATAGAGCAAGGCAAGAAAAGTAAGTGGCCGTGACTTTCCCTCTTCTCCCTCTACTTGGTGGTTGTCTTGGTTTGGGGCTCTTGGCTTCCTCTCTCAGGGGGGTCTGATGGCTTCACTGGGTCTGAGAGTTGGTTTCATGGGGACTTGTGGTGGCAGCAGTGGGATGGAGCAAACTCCAGGATTATGGCTCTAGAACAACTGACAAAACCCAGCCTGGTGCCTGGAACTTCCTTTGGAAGAGACGATGCATCTCCGGGCCATTCCCGGCCAGGACTTGCGGTCTTGGCGTGTCGGGGGCTGTCGTGGAAGCTGGCTCCCGGGCCTGCTCTAGCCTCCTGTCACCCATGGCAGGGAGAGGGAGTGGGTGGCAGAGAGGCCAGCTTTTGTGTGTTAGAGGAAATGGCCTCGTTGGTGGCTGCAGTGGTGGTGCAGTTGGATTTGGGGCCAGCTGGGGTGTTTTCTTGGTGCGTGCCCTCCTGCGGGAGTGAGGCAGGCCAGAGACGCTCAGCCGCCTTGGCCGGGGAGAAAGAGGTGAATGTTGGCCATTTCCTGAGGCTTTCAGTTGCTCAGTGTGGAGGGTCAGGTCAGGATGGAGCAGGGGGTGAGGTCTGGCAGCGGTGATCCTTCAAGACAGGGCGAGCGGCTGGCACGGGAGAGAGCCTGCAGGGGAAGAGACTGAGAGAGAGCACCTCTGCCCTTCCCCCACCCATCGTCCTGTCTGCCCCCAACGCTCTGGTGACATTGAAGCCCCCTAGGCCTCAACCCCTTGCCTCTTCCCTAAGTCCCCAACTTCAGGATTGCTAAGCAGTGATTGGGGACAGGAGGCTCAGAGAGAGAGAGAGTGTGTCTGTGCGCGTGTGAATGAAGACCTTCCTTCCTCCAGAACTTTCTCCCGAGAGGGAACAGACTTGCCTCTCTCCTCCATCCCCTCCCCTTCATTTGTCCCATGTGACAGCCATCCTGAGGGGCATTCTCTGGGGCCGGGCAGGTGTGGAGAGGGCTGGTTCCCTGGAGGGGGACAGGCTTCAGCTTGCCGCCCTTGCCTGTTCCCCAAACGCCTGCCTTGCCCACAGGGAGAGTGGGGTTTCGCCTGGTCTCCGAAGAGAGTCTGGTGAGATGGTGTAGCAGGCTTTGACAGGCTGGGGAGAGGACGCTTCGCCAAATGCCGCCCAGGCCCCCCTCCCCATGCCTCCCTAACTCCCACCCCACCCTGCCGCCTGCCTGGGGCCCCGCCTCTCAGCCCAGGTTATGGCCGGGCTGGCTGGCGCCTTTCATATGCCACCCTTGGTTTTGCGCCAGCTCCCAAGATAGCTGCTCCCCTACACTGAGATTCACAGAGGCAGGGCCCCTGGAGGGACCCCTCGCTCTGGTACTTGGAAATGAAGGCAGAAGGTGCCTGGAGTACAGCCTGCACCCCCTTCCCTCGCCCCCCATCGAGTCAAGTCTCTGACCTTCTCCCCAAACTCTGGCCTACCTCTTATGGCCCCTGACCTTCAGGGTCAGGCTTGTTCAGGGATGCTGGGCAGAGAGCCTGCCCCCTAGGCTTTGCCCCCTGCCTGGAACCAGGAGACACCATGAGCGTGGAGGCCTGTGGGTCCAGTGCCCTCCACCCAGCCTCTGCTCCCCCCACCACACACACAGCCTTGCTAGGAGCTGGGTTTGCTGCCCCCCCCACCCCCGGCTCCGCCCAAGGGTAAAGTGAGAAGAAGGCGCCATTGAGTGCCTGCCGCCCCGGCCCATCCCGTGTGCGTGCACGTGTGCAAGCTCTCCCTCGTGCCTCGGAGCGTGTCCTGTGTCCTGCCCTCCTCACTGCTTCCTTTCCTCTCCCCTACCCCCTTGCTTTCTCTTTGTCTGTCTCTGTTTTTTTATTTTCCAGAAAATCAGTTCGAGGAAAGGGAAAGGGGCAAAAAAGAAAGCGCAAGAAATCCCGGTATAAATCCTGGAGCGCGTACGTGGTGCCACCGCTGTCTCGTTTCCTGGAGCCTCCCAGCCCCCAATCAAACTCCCGCCTGCAGGACCCTGGAACCCTGCCTCCCTCCTGCTCCCCTTCCCTGGCTCCTATCCTCCCTCTCCCCTAGTGACTCTCTCTCACTCTCACTCCACTAATTGGCACCGATGGGTAGATGTGGTGGTGGCATTGCTGGTCCAGGGCTGGGGGGTGGGCGGGTGGGCAGAGTGGGCCTGGAGGATTCAGGGAGGGGCCTCTGGCTTGGCTGGGCACCCACCGCCTTTCCCTCATCCACTGGGCACTGGTGGCGGGCCCATGTTGGCACGGGTGCCGGGCGCTGATGCCTGCTCACCCAACTGGTTTCCACTGCTCTAGGCTTCCGCACTTCTCTGGAAGCTGGGGGGTGGGGGTGGGGAGGGCAGACGTGGCGTGAGGAAGGGGCGTGGATGAGGTGAGGCAGCTCGTTGTTGGCTGAAGGAGGATGTGGCGTCAAACACCACTGCGGCCCCTCCTTGTGGACTTGGGGCCTCTGGAGGAGAGCCCCCTATTCCAGCCCAACCCATGGCACCCACAGAAGCCTTCCCGTAGGGTGGCCTCTTCCTCTGGGTTTGAGGCTGTGGGCGACCCTTTGGCCACAGCGGCCTGGCCTGTGGACCCTGCCTCTGGGCCTAGCCTGCCGTCACTCCCTGCTTCAGCCCCCACTTTGGTGGAGGGGCCTGGGCATGAGCCTTCACACAGGGAGGAGGTGGCCCCAATTGCCATCCCCAGCAGGTGGAGAGTGAAGGTGTGCTTTTCCGGGGGTGGTAGCCGTTGGGGCCCTGTGGCCCGAGACTTGCACTTGTGCCCGTGGGACAGCGCTGCCCCTTACAGCACCCCTGTCCTTGCATTCTGCCCGTGAACGTCCGCCTCTTCCTGCGGGCAGGCTTCCTAGCCAGTGCTGCCTCTTTCCGCCGCTCTCTCTTGTCTTCCGCTGTGGCGTCGGACCCTTCCAGGGCGTGGAAGGGTGTGGGGCCCGTGAGCTGGGTGGGGTGCAGCTGCTGACGTGGTCGGGGGTGTTGCATGGATTTTTTTCTCTCTCTCTGCTGACGCTCTAGCTTAGATGTCTTTCCTTTTGCCTTTTGCAGTCCCTGTGGGCCTTGCTCAGAGCGGAGAAAGCATTTGTTTGTACAAGATCCGCAGACGTGTAAATGTTCCTGCAAAAACACAGACTCGCGTTGCAAGGCGAGGCAGCTTGAGTTAAACGAACGTACTTGCAGGTTGGTTCCCAGAGGGCGAGCAAGTCAGAGAGGGGCTTTGCACAGAGATGGGGAGAGAGAGAGAGAGAGCGCGCGAGCGAGCGAGCGAGCGAGAGCGAGCGAACGCGCACCTGAAAGGGGCCAGCTGCTTGCTCAGCTTCTAGCTGCTTGCCTGGTGACTGCCGCCTTCTCTGCTCGCGGGGCCCCTGCACTGGGCAGCGGGTGCTGGCCGGCCCGCCAGGGCCAGTTCAGAGCTTGCCCTGGTTGCGTGAGTGGGCAGGCCAGTGTGGCTTCCCGTGGTGGTGTGGACGCAGGCTGAGTGTTGTGTCCTGTGGTCCTGCTCGTAGTGGCTGTTGGTTCTGACGTCGTGATTCCTACCTCTGCTGCTAATAGGGAGGGCCCTTCCCGGCGTGGGGGGATGCGCCTCTACAAAGCGCAAACACTTGGGGGCCTCGCCACCGCCTCTGAGGTCTGCACCGCTGGGTTTCTCATCCCCTCAGTGTCTCTCCTTGGGGACAGGGCTTGAGTTCATCCTCAGACTGGGGTCCTGGAGGGCGTGGGCTCTGCCTGTTGGTTTAGGGCAGATAGAAGATTTAACATCAGGAGACGCTAGATAGCTTAATACTCCAGTCATCACGGCGACAGCCCCGAACAGCCCACCTATTTCCAAATGCCCCTGGGATGGGTGGAGGGAGGGAGCCACACCCATTCTCCTAATGTTAGGCCGTGAGCTCCTCACACCTGGGCCTAGGTTTTATTCATCTGTGTGACCCCCCACTCCCACCCCAGGCATCTGTGCCTCTGTCCCTTGTTCCCACCAGGGACCAAGGAAGTGTCAAGTGCGTGAGTGAATACATGACTGAGTTCAGGGGTGAGGGCAAGAGCACGGGGCCGTGACAGGTGGCTGGCAATCTTTTGATGCCTCGCTGGTGTTTATACTCATCTGGCCTGTGCTCAAAGGCAGGGAGCCCTCTGGGCCAGCGTAAGCTTCACCCAGGAAGGAGAGGCTTTTATGGGGATTCCCGGGCAGGGCCAGGGTGCCCCCGGCTAGTCCAGATGCCTCATTGGTTAACAGGGTCCTTGGAGTGTAGCTCTCTCCCCCGTCTCCCGTGTTCCTGTGGCTTGTGCGTGTCAGGGAGGCTGGGGACCAGGCCCTGGGGGTGTTACTGTGGGTTCTGTCTGTCTTGGCGGACAGAAGGCAGGAAGTGTACACTACATGAAGGCAGGAAGTGTACACTAGTGCTGGGGTGGGGGCTCTGCCTCACCCCAGGGCTGGCTGAGGGGTCTCCACATCTCCCAGGGACCTCCGAGAAGATAAGGGATTTGCCATTTTAGGGTTACCACGGTGATCATTCTGCAGTGATGGGATAGGGGGATGTCTGCAGTGACCTGGGGGCTAACTGAAGTTACCCGAACCCATCCTCTCACCTGGCTGTATGGGGGAATTTCAGTCCTCAAACAGGAGGCTTAGGATCCCCATTCCTAAGCTCTCAGAAGGGCAGGGCCTGCTCTGACCTCTCTTCAAGTGGGGAGGGTAAAAGGCAAGCAGCCCAGGTGCAGGGGCATGATGGGAAAGTTCTAGGAGTCCCCTCTGCCTCCCCGACCCTAAGTTAAATAGCATATTGGAAAGGTAAGGCAGCCTGGTACCTGGGGCCTGCAGCTGAGGCCAGGACGGTGGGCATGGCGAGGGGAGGTGTGTCTCTCACCTTCCCAGGGCCCCAAGCCCTGCTGGCTCCGCCTCTCTTGGGAGCCTCACTTCCCCAGCTTCCTGGCCTGCTTGGCCTCTGCACAGGCCCTATCCTTTGCTCTCCCAACTCACTCCCCCAAACCAGCACCATAGGGACTGCACTGAAACATCTCCTTCTGCAGGGAGGCTTTGCTGATTAACTTGGTCCAACTTTGCTCACCTATCAGCTCTTAAATGTCAACTAGGGACTGTTCTTTGGGACGTGTTCATTTGTTGCTTGTGATGAGATGTCATTCTGCCTTTGTCTTGTCTCAGCTAGATTGTAATCTCCAGAGGGCAGACTGGGAGCCCCGGACGTAGCTGCCACTCTCCCAGAGGCAGGACTGCGCTTTCTCTGTCCTCTCCCCTGCTGGCCTCGGGCTGCAGGAAGGGGAGGCTGCGGCCTCCCCACCGGGGCTCCTCCCCTGGCCCTAACCCCCAGCCTCTGTTTCCCGTTCTCTGCAGATGTGACAAGCCAAGGCGGTGAGCTGGGTGGGAGGAAGGAGCCTCCCTCAGAGTTTCAGGGACGAGACGTCTCACCAGGAAAGACTGACACAGAATGACCCATAGCCGCTGCCCCCGCACCACCACCACCATCAACAGAACAGTCCTGAATCCAGAAACCTGACATGAAGGAAGAGGAGGCTGTGCGCAGAGCACTTTGGGTCCGGAGCACAAGACTCCGGCAGAAGCATTCCCGGGCGGGTGACCCAGCACGGTCCCTCTTGGAATTGGATCGCCATTTTATTTCTCTTGCTGCTAGATCACCGAGCCCGGAAGATTAGAGAGTTTTATTTCTGGGATTCCTGTAGACACACCCACCCACATACATGCGTTCATATACATATATAAAATATATAAAAATAAATATATATATTTTATATATATATATAAAATATATATATTCTTTTTTTTTAAATTAACATTGCTAATGTTATTGGTGTCTTCACTGGATGTATTTGACTGCTGTGGACTTGAGTTGGGAGGAGAACGCCCCCACCCAGATCCTGACAGGGAAGAGGATGGAAGCAGAGACTCTGGCATCATCTTTTTATCCCTCTTAGGGAAGCCGGGGTCCCCTCACCTGCCTGGGGACGCGCAAGGCCAGGGCACGGGGGCAAATTTGGCCTGCTTTTGGAAACACCGACAAACCCAGCCCTGGCCCCGAGCCTCTATCCCGAGTCAAACGGACAGAAAGACAGGCAACAGGTACAGGGCACGAGGACGCTGGCTCTGACCAGGAGTTTGGGGGAGCCTCGGGACACTGCTGTGCTTTGGAGAACCCCTCCACGTGCTGCACGGGCATCTTGCCCCCAGGGGCACTTGCCTGGAAGATTCAGGAGTCTGGGCAGCCTTCACCTCCTCTCACCCGCTTCCGAGATGCCCAGGAGGCCACTGACATGCCTTGGCGAAGAGAAGAGAGACGTTGGTGGAGGAAGGGCCGCCCAGTGGCAGCTCATCCTCTGAGGGAAGGGCCTCCTGCCTTGGCCCTCTCCCAGCTTCGCTTCCCGGGGCACAGCCCAGGAGGGCCCGATGTCCTCAGACCATTGAAACCACTAGTTGTGTCCCCCCAGGAGACCTGGCTGTGTGTGTGTGAGTGGTTAACCCACCTCTGTCCCCCAACCCGACCCTTCCTGCGGCATAGAGAGACAGGGCAGGGTCCCGGTGCCCACCCTGGAGGCAGAGAAAAGAGAAGTGTTTTATATATGGTAGTTATTTAATATGCCCTTTTAATTAGAAATTAAAACAGTTAATTTAATTAAAGAGTAGGGTTTTTTTCAGTATTCTTGGTTAATATTTAATTTCAACTATTTATGAGATCCATCTCTTGCTGTCTCGCTCTCTCTTATTTGTACTGGTCTTTGTGTATAAAATTCCTGTTTCCAATCTCTCTTGCTCTGATCGGTGACAGTCACCAGCTTGTCCTGAGCAGATATTTAATTTTGCTAACACTCAGTTCTGCCCTCCCCTTTCCCTTGGCTCCCCACCACACATTCCTTTGAAATAAGGTTTCAATATACATCTACATACTATATATATATTTGGTAACTTGTGTTTGTGTATATATATATAATATATATATATATATGTTTATGTATATATGATTCTGATAGACATTGCTATTCTGTTTTTTTATATGTAAAAACAAAACAAGAAAAAATAGAGAATTCTACATACTAAATCTCTCTCCTTTTTTAATTTTAATATTTGTTATCATTTATTTATTGGTGCTACTGTTTATCCGTAATAATTGTGGGGGAAAAGATATTAACATCACATCTTTGTCTCTAGTGCAGTTTTTCGAGATATTCCGTAGTACATATTTATTTTTAAACAACAACAAAGAAATACAGATATATCTTAAAAAAAAGCATTTTGTATTAAAGAATTTAATTCTGATCTCAAAGCTCCTCCTGGTTTCTCCTTCTCCATTGAATCTTTGTTCCAGACTTCCTCCTGCCCCTTTCCCTCCTCCCATGGGAAACATGGCATTTGCCTGAGGTCTGGGAAAGGGGTTCCAAGCGTGTAGGATACGGGGTGACCCACCTCATTGTGCCGGGGGCCAGAGTCTTTCCATTCTGGCTGGGCCCGTCCTGGGGGAGCTCGTTCATCTTCTACCATCTGTGGAAGTGGGGGAGGGAGAGACAGCTCCTTAGATAGGAGCCAAGGGCCCTGCAATGAGTAGAGCTGTCTTCAGGAGTCATGTGATCCAGGCAATGTCCCTTGTCAGGGAAGGAACTGGCCATGTCTCTGAGCTTGTTTCCCAGAGGACAGGAAGGGGCTGGGAATGGGAAGGGGGTGCTTGTGTGGGGCCTGTACCCCCAGGGTATAAATTAGTTTTACGTAGTAGTCCTGGAGTTCCTTGAGCCTCCGGAAGGTGGGCCCACGGTTCCACTTGCCCCTGAGGGGGACTCCCTGCCCTGCCTTGCTGTGTAGGCCCAGCTCTCCTGCAGGCCCGGGGAAGGTGGAAGCTGTCTGGGTCTTTGACGTTTTTGAACAGTGCTTCCAAATCCACTTCTCTAGCCTCTTTTATTCCTTCAAACCATATTTATTGGGCCACCAGCCATCGTGCCAGGGCAAGGGATGCCGTTATGAATAAGACACAATTCCACCCCTCAAGGATCTGGTGAGGGTGGGTGAGGAGACACAGAACTATAAATCCACAAATAGAAAAATACATAAATTTTGATGGGGGCATTTGATCCAGCTTGGGAGTGGGGATGGATTGCGGGTGGTGGAGTCTGGGAGGTCTGCTCATTATATTACCTTTACGCTGCCCCTTAAAGAGTGTGAAGGAGAAGACAGAACATGGAGGGGCGGGTGGAAGGGTTGAAGCCGACATCCCAGGCAGAAGGGGCAGTGTGGGCAAAGGCATGGAGGGAGGACTCAGGCAGGGAGTGGGTGAGGGGATGAAGGTGGGAGAGAGAGGCAGGAATAGCCCTTGCCTGCCGCACCCATGGTGCCAAGAGCCTATGACCTGGGGATGAGCAGCACGTGAGGGGTTTTAAACAGGGAGCACCTCTGCAGGGAGGTGGTTGTAATCCTCCCGTGGGAGACACCCTGAGGAGGGTAGAGGTGACTTCGGTGGCTGAAAAGGGAGGGCACCCCCTGCCTCTCCTGGCCACACTGGGTGGGGGGGGGACTAGGGAGGCGAGGTTCCTGCCCTCGTGCAGCTTTGGTTCTAGTTAAGTGCTCATTTTCCAGGCGCTTTCCACCTGTGGCTCTTCCGCTGGTTAACACGATCCACAAGACCTGTGAGGTCGGGGCTCTTGTCATCCCAAGTGGATATTTGCCTGAGCCTCCAACTGGCCTTCCAGATTCTTCTCTCTCCTGCATTCTCATCAGCCAGAGTGAGCCTGTTAAAATGTGAGCTGAATCATATTACCTTTTGGCTCAAAACCCTGCAGACTCCGTTTTATTCGGCAAAAGAAGCCAAAGTCCATACAGTGGCCTTAAAAGGCCCTGCACCATCTGTGTTGCCTTGATCTCCCCAACTCAATGACCTCTGACCCCACCTTGACCACTCAGCTCCAGCCACACTGGCTTCTCTGTTCCTCGCGGGTGCGCTCCCACCTCAGGGCCTTTGCACGTGCGGTCCTCTCTTCCTAGAGTCCTCTTCCCCCAGATGTGGCATGCGTGGCTCTCTCACCTTTAAGTTTTGTTACCATCTCAGCAAGGCTGCTTGACTATTGCATTTACAATCAACACCCTGCCCTCGGGCTCCTCTGCACTCGGGGTCCTCTTTTCACCATCCTTTTTTTTCCCATAGCACATGCCACCATCTAAATACCCTAGAACAGGTCTGTCCAATAGAACTATGATGTGAATGAACCATGTATGTAGTTTAAAGTGTTCTCTGAGCCAGATGTTGAAAGGTAAAAAGAAACAGGTGACGTTTAATTTAATCATATATTTTACTTAACCCCAACATATCTAAAATATCATCGAATCAATATAAAAATGATTAATGAGAGATTTTATGTTTTTCGGTATTAAGTCTTCGAATCTGATGTGTATTTTGCTTTTATCAAACTTCTCAATTGGGAGTAGCAACATGTCAAGTATGCAGTATACATATGAGGCTGGTGCCTACCGTTTTGGACCGTGTTGCTTTAAAATTTACCCCTCCTCTTATTTCCCCCACTACTAGAATGCAAGCAATGTGAGGGCAGAGATTTTTATCTGTTTTGTTCAATGTTGTACATTGTATCTCCAGCTCCTAGAACGTGCCTGGGACATGCTCAATAAACATTTGTTATCTGACTGACATTGTTGAAACTGAAGCCTGGTGACTGAGGGTTTGTTTTATCCCAAGACTATGGAGGTAGGTGATGGCTGGCACTGGCGGGAGTGGTGGGTAGACAGGCTTTTTGACAGGTGGGGACTCGAGCAGGGCTGGGTGAGGAGAGGGGAACTCAGAGTCGGTGGTGGGGATGAGGGACAGAGAGGCCTCTTCCCCTGTGCCAGGCCCTGTCTCCTCCTTTTAGCCACCCTGGGGACGGGGCTCATTATTTCTACTTGGTAGATGAGGGTCAGAGAGGGTAAATAACTTGCCCGAATCGACTCACAGCCAGTAAAATGGCCAAGCCAGAATTTAAACCAGCTTTCCTGACTCCGATTCCAGTGCTCTTCCCACCTCACCACAGTTGCCCCAGGCTAGGGCAGAACATCAACAACTAAAAATGAATCGTCTAGACTGAATACAAACAGGCAGAAGAAAAGTGGGACGGGGGAGGATGTGGTGGTGGCCAAACCCAGGGCTGAAATCCATATTTCCCCAAGCGCGGCGAGGCAAGAGATGTCTCTAGGGCCTGGGCTCGTCAGTAGAAGATCTGAAACCTAAGATGGAAGAGATTGCAACACGCAGCCTTGGAAGACAGAAACAGTCTTTAAATAGACTCTGGAGAAAAAGAAGGATAAAACGAGCATGCTGCATCCCCCAGTTGTATAAGACCTGCTCGTACACCCCCTGCAGCCTTCCCAAAGGACCTCTCAAGGCTCAGTGCCAAGCTGTCCCAGCCTTTCTCCCCTCTGTGGGACTCACACCCTCCCCTCTGGTCTGGCCACTGTTTTCCCTGGAGACATAGCGCTCCTTCTCAACTCTGCTCTGCCCAGCCTGAGCCCCTTTCCCCTTTTCCTAAGGGGCAACCTACCCTGGCCACAGCCCCAAAGGCCTTTGTATACTTCTTCTCCAAGGAAGCTGACAGCCTACTCTTTCCTCCTGTAAGGAGGCTGGGTGGATCCATACAGAACTTGGTGATTCTGGATCAGTTTCACGTGTTAGTGCCATTGTGGTGGCCTGGGTCCAAATATGGCTGCCAGCAGCGCTTTCCACCCCTACGTCTGCGTGCTGCAAAAAAAGAGTCTACTTTTCCTCTGTTGAGTCTGGGCTGGCCTTATGACTTGCTTTGACTAAGAGGATGTGGCAGAACAGATGTTCTGGGACTTTCGGGCCTCGGCCTTGAGGGAGATTGCAGTTTCCATTTTTTCCCTCTTAGCCGGCGGCTGCCATGCTGTAAGGAAGTTCAACTACCCTGCTGGAGAGAGAGGCCACGTAGAGAGAAAGAGAGGGGCTCAGGCTGCCCCCAACTGTTCCAACCACCCCAAGCTGAGGCCCCAGACGTGTGAGTGAGGTCATTTTGGATTCTCTAGCCCCAGGTGAGCCACTCTTGCACAACACAAAAAGGAGGGAAGCAATCTCCTGCCCAGATGTACAGGGTTGTGAGTAAATATATGGCTGTTGTTGTTTCAGACTATGAAGTTTTGGGGTAGTTGTTACTCATCAATCATATCTGAACCATCTAACTAAATGGTCATTTCTTTGGGGCTTGGACCTTTGTCCCTTCCCATCCATAAGTCTTAGCATGATGGTCTCAGTGGGTGGAGGGAGGTTCCAGGAAGGAAGGATATTTATAAAGCAGTCAGAGACCAGCAGCAGTCTGCCTTGGTGGGAAGACTCAGGGCAAGGGCTGACCCAGGCAGGACAAAGTATTGTCCAAATTTCTAGAATGAGGAGAGCCAGTCAGTTTTATTGAAGTCTCACCAAAAGAAAGTGGGCCTCATCTGTAGCATGAGGGAGAGAGGCTAGAGGCTGAGAAGAACTGGCAGAGAGAGAAGCACAAGGGATTTGGAGGAAAAGGCTATGGAATCTTGTCCTCCCCTTCCTTCCTTCCTCCCTCGCAACCTCCAGAATTTATGGACTAGCAGCCATATGGGCTATGCTCTGGTGCAGAATGGGCTCTCGCTTACCGGGGCTGGCTTTAGCCTAAAGATGGGGGCCAGACGAGATGACCTCTGGGAGGCCCCACCAGGTTGGCCTTGGAGTTCTTGGGAGGAGGATAATTCAGCTGCATCCACAGGACGTTATCCATCAGGACATGGGGAACAGGGGAGGGCAGGGAAGGAATCAGTGAATATTCATAATCTTCCTGGAAAGGGAAAATGCAAGGCAAAGATAGGGCCTGGCTGAGCATCTGCAGAGGAGGAGATGGTAGTGACTCCAGAGGTGGATGAGCTAGAACCGAGGGGAACAGGAAAAGGACCCGTCAGGCCTAGGGGCCTATAGGAGGAAGGCCGGGCCTGGGTCCCCTCAGGACCAGAGGACCGAGAGCTGAAACAGATTTTCAAAGGTTGCATTTGTCTTTGGGTGGTGAGTCTGTTAGTGAAGAAAGTATAAGTACTACCCTCAGGGAGCTCCCAGTCTGAGGCGGCTGACATGGTCCTTGCTTTCAGGGTGCTTCCTGCCTTCCCAGAGTTTCTCGTTTGAGGGAGGAGACAGAATCCCTGCCACCAGACATTTCTCTGTTGATTAAGATGGACGCCATTCTCAGGAAGGCACCCCCTCGCCTTCATTCGGCTGCTGTAGATGTTTGGAATCATGGAATATTGGCGCCTGGTGAGCCCTTT